AGAACAGAGCCAAGTAAGAACCGCTTGCGTCAGGGGCTGGGGGCGGGGTTACCGTGACCAACAAGACGAATAGAAACTTGTGACCGCCATTTTTAAATAGCAGCTAGTCGAGCTAATAGCAGCTTGATTATAATATCCGTCTATGTAAGTTACGGCGAGCTGCACAAACGCGTTGGATTCCGATGTATTTTTGCAAACCCATGAGCATCCATAGTAACGCAACGTCCGTTATTGTTGATGGCTTGTTCGAGATGCATCGGAGCGGCGCGGACCGATCGGAGCTGCGGGAGTGTGTGGAGATCATACGACTCCTTGTGCTTTTGGATCGCTTTCGTAGTGCTTTGATGTCATGCGGCGATCGATCTGCGAGAAGCCGATGCATCTCGAACAAGCCTGGCGTGTTTGTGTTTGGTGTTACCGCACTAGCGTTGCTGGGCAACATGAGACGTATGCAGTGACGTAAGATCTGGCTCTGTTGTGGCTCTCTAGCCGGTGGAAACCGGTTCTTAGTAAGCTTGTCAGTCGAACCAACTCCGAACCAGCTCTGGCTCTGGCTCTGAACCAGCACCCGGTTCTTGTTGGTGGAAAAGGGTTATAAGAGGGCTCTGGGGCCTCATTAATAAAACATGCATATGCACAGATTTGAACTGAGTGTGCATATGGAAAAATCAGTGGCGTAGACAGGGGAGGGGCCATGGGGGCACTGGCCCCTCCTGAAAACTGATTGGCCCCCCAGTGTGCCCCCACCCTTCTACTTGTCTGTCACTCAAAAATTAAAATCATAATCTTTCAGTTTGTAGTAGAATAATTCATAATTCCGCGTCGCGATGCTTCTCAACGAGGACCAAGAATAGCGAGCTAGAGTTTTTTCTATTTCTTTTTCATTTTTTTTGACCCAGCGCCAATATTTCCGCCCGTGTTCTCTGATTTGTTACTTAGACTTGAGTTTACTAACATTCAGCCAATCACAGCGCGAAGCATCTATTGGGCGCGTCTGCCATGAGCTTCAAATCTCTTGTTGCTCTTGCGAATTTTCGTGTCCGTTTAGTTTTGCCCCAGTTTGGCCGTCTAATGTATTCCATGCATGCACCCCAGAAAAAAAGCAGAGGACGATTACATCTTTTTTTTTTACACACACTGTAAGTATAATGTGTTACAGTATGTCGCGATGACATGAATCACACGTAAAGTTTCCTTGTTATGATTTAACCTACTGTAACGCAGTAAGACGTGTAAGACAACAGAACCCGAATGGACCTCGTCACGTCGGATTGTGTCGAGTGTGTGTCAAATGCTCTCCTACTTGTTGCTTTGTCTGTTAAATGAGACATAACAGATTATTCCTAGCAGGCACACAACGTCGGGTGACCAAAATTCAATGTAAATTCAACATCTAATGTGAATGTTAAATTGATGTCCAATACCGAATACATTGATTTAGGTTTTATTGATATATTTTTATAAAATGTCGTATAAAATTACTGTAGGCTAGATGTAATCTGTATACTACTCATTGGACTTTTTTGTCCAACTGTTAAGAAGTAACGTTAAGATAAAAGTTATTGTTCAAGTGTAGTTTAACTGAAATATTGTAAATATCATAAAATATCTTTATTTCATAAAAATAAAGTAGGCTATAGATGTCCACAGTTGTCTGAAAGTCCCAAGTCCTGCAATATTTTTTTATTTCGAGTATGATTTCACAAAAATAGGTTGCTGTAAGCTATCATGGCATGTTCCCAAAATTGGCACTAGGGTGCTGTAAAATGCCAATTGCTATTCCATCTAGAATGTATTATTATGAACATCACCTTTCAGTCCCTCCAGAAAAACGCGATTATGCGATCGCATGATTCAATAATCAGCCAAAGTCCGCATATTTATGCGGGGGCATTTTTTCAAATACGCCGCACTTTTGCCGTATAAATTGCCGATTTCCACGCAAAATATGCGGGGCTTGTATGATTTCATAATCCCCGCATTTTTGTTGCAAAAGAAAGTCACATATATCTTAGCAGAAAGTTGAAAAATGTTGCGTTTGCTTCACACGAGAGCAGCCGTTTCCCCCTGTTGCCATGGGAACGTTATGAAGTGACGTAATTACGCGACATGAACATCATTGAAAAGCTGTAAAACAGGAAACATTTTTTCATATTTTATTTATTCATTTTTACAGAAGTTGTAGCATATTCCTTTTGTAAAGCTACAGAACTTGTTTGACTCATCAATGTTTTGTAAGTTTGAGCCATGTGTTTATTAAGGTCTGAAATAAAACAAAATGAAATATTCCAGCACTTTCTGTGATGTATGTTTGCTTATCATAGGAAGTAATAATAAATAGCTCTTTACATTAAGATAGTAGCCTAGTGAGAACAGGGTGTTGGGGAATCACTTTTTCTCTCTTTTTCATCAAACCGCAGTTTTTGCAAGTTCCCGCAATTTCATCACATAAAATTGCATAAATATCCTGCATATTCCATCGCCGCATAATCAAGGATTTAAAAAAGATTTATTATATACAATTTTATTACGGTTATATGAATTCATTAATTGTGTATTTATTATATGAATGATTAATATAATTATGCATTTATATAAATAAGGCTGTTCTATTATTATTTGTGAGTTGTACACTAATACATTGGATTATTTTATTTATTACAGTTTTTCTTTCACTTTTGTAAAGTGAAAAGTTAATATAAATTGCATTTTATTGTTTTGATTTTGAGCAGTGAATAACTGCTATTAAAAGATAATAGGGTATCACTGTTTATTGCTGATTTTAAAGCTTACTGAACTTGAAATGATTTGGATATCTACAGTTCTACATAAATACACAACATAAGAATGGCCCCTCTGTAATAATTGTGGCCCCTCTTGTGCCCCCTCAGTTGAAAAAATCCTAGAATCGCCCCTGGGAAAAATCCATGCCAAAGTTCAAAAAATGCCTTTTAAGGCCACATCATTAAAAGGTCACCGGTACCTTAGTCCACAGAACTCCTCTAGGGAGTGATCGGCTTGACGGAGGCGAAGGAGACAGACTTCTGGGTTCATGGCTGGTCATATATTCTGTAACGCTGCCTGGAAAAGGACCGGATGAGGACGATGGTGTAGAAGCCCAAGTGTAGTTTATTTACTTTTTATATGATCCAAAAATGTGGAACATAAACCATGAACTAAACCCAAAACATGAATCAAATGAATGAATGAGTGAAGTGAATCAAAATATAAACATGAAATTGTACTATAGACTTGACTATAAATGACTGCCCATGACACAGCTAAATATACTTCAATACATGGCCAACCAACATGGCAAACACAAGGGCTTAAGTATAGGACAATGGGACAAACACATGCAAACTGATGACAACACAGAACTACTAAACAAGATAACAGGACCACGAATCTTTGGGTGTGTTCGACTCGATGCGGTGCTGTCTAGATCGATCTGCGTCTGACGTGAAGCAGCGTATGCCGTACGCGAGAGTGGATCGAGAGATGACGGCGGGTTCGTTCTGAGCAGCGTCTCTCTGATGACGACAGCTGTTCCACGATCAGCCGAATACACCGCATGACAACGATCATGTGTGTTTCCTGTTTGTTCTAATACATTCAGCTGATGCTCACAAATTCGTAATGTTATGTTATATTGTGTCGTGTTTAAGAATATAAACCGGATCAAAAGTATATAGACCCACTTTATTTAAATAATATAGGCTTATGTTGAACAGTATTCTTGTACATACAGGCGCTGTAATTAGCAATGCATAAAGTATTGAATGAAAGTGTTTCTGTTGCTTCATGAAAACTTCTGTGAATTTGCCACATATTGCATTTAATAGACTTCGTTAGTAATAAAGTACGCAAACACCGCATGAGCGTTTCAACTCTCCGACTGCAAGTAGCAAATCTCTCTGATCGATAACATCCAGTGCAAGTCGAACACACCTAATGAGAACATGACTCCTGACACAAGGGCCACATGAGGGGGACGGGCAATCACATGACATGAACCAAACACCAAAATAAAAGACATTAAAACAAAACCTAAAACAGATGTGACATTACTCAACTTGTTCATCGTTGTACTATAGATGTACTGCGGATGAACTGTGTTTATATTTCCTTATATTCTACACTTCTTCATTTTACTTCAGTTATTCTTCAGAATATGATGTTTTACACAGAATTGATTAATATTAACATTTGGGAAATTAATTAACAATAACACATGTACCAAACATCACATGCTTAAACTATTGAATAGTTACACATAATGACATGAACAAAGAGTGATTGAAAGATGATAGTGAAGTTTTTGAGGTCTCTTGGTCACTCCCTCACACCCCTCTGTCTTAAATGTACATCTTCAGACCCATTTGTCTTGGGTTAACTGCGTTGGAGGAGACCTAATTGATACAATCGTCAATGGAAGATGCCTAGTTAGCTCAGTCTGACTGGTGCCACAGGGTCTCTGGTGGTTATGGTCCTGGAGTGCTGATTCCACTTGAGTTCTGCTTCTTTCTCTCTTCTGTACGGGTTTGATGTCATCTCTGCCTGTTTTGCTCTAAGGTCCTACATTTGTTTTCAAAATACATTATTTTCAATAAAATAAGCATTTACATTGATACATCCCAAAAAGCTGCCATAAGTGCATATTAGACAACGAAGACACATTGTACGTAGAAAGCGCTGTGTTTATATATTAAGTGTTCTTTTAAATTGCTAAATAATGAATACCAGACCACATCCAATAACCACTTACTGTGGGTTCAGATATCAGAATTATGAAATGCTTTCAGAAAATGCTTTATATCCCAAGTATATATTTTTACCTGCAAATATATTCCCATAATTATTGAAATGTATATTAATCTAAGTCATGCACAAGATCTTCAGAGCAGATTATTTGTCTTAATACTGGAATGTAGTACATAGGAATCTCTAATTATTATTAATAATACTATTTTGAAGAATAAGCTTTCTTTTCTTTTCTGCTTCTTCATTTTCCTTCCCTCTACCCAAGTTTGTCTGAACCCTTACAGGATTGCAGTTCACTCTCCTCCACAGGCGGGGAGCTTCGGACAACATGCCGGCCTCGGTGAGTTAAAGACATGTTTCCAGAAGCCCTGCGGAAGGTGGAGAGGCGGTGGCGAAAGTTCTCTCCGGAGAAGAAGTAGAGCATTGGGTCAAAGCAGGAGTTGGCAGCAGCCAGGCAGAGGGTGATGACCACAGACTTCTGCATATAGATAACCTCATCGCAGGTAGTGTCTTTGCGGGTTTTAAAGTGGAGATGCAGCGTGCGTTGTATATGATAGGGCATAAAACTGACCAAGAAAGCCAGCATCACCACAACGATCATCCGAATGGCCTTGTTCCGCGTGTAACGCTGCTTGTTCACACTGTTGTTGTTTCTAAGTAGAGTGCGCAAGATGCCTGCATAACACAGCAAGATAACCAGGAAAGGTATAATAAAACCCACCACCAGGGAAAAGTAATTCAGCATGACTAGTTTATCTAGACTGCCTGACGTTTCTGGTGGTTCGAAACACTTGGTTTTGTTTGTCTTTGGATCAGTATGCTGACCAGAGAGGAGGAAGGGTGAACTGGTGGTGCAAATGAAGATCCAAATGCCCACACAAACTATCCATGCCTTCTTCTCAGTGGCTAGCCTCAGGTTCTGCACCGGGAACACGATTGCTAGGAAGCGGGTAAAACTCATAGCCATCATGAAGAAGACACTGCAGTAGAGGTTCACGTACAGGGCATAGGAACTCAGCCGGCAGAGAAAGTCCCCCAGGTTCCACTGGCCTTTGTTGATGTAGTAGAGCACGCGTAGGGGAAGAGTGCTGACACACAGCAGGTCTGACACGGCCAGGTTCAGCATGTAGATGTGGAAGGAGGAGGTCTGGCGGTAGGTGCGGAGGAGCACGTAGAGAGCAAAGCCATTGCCCATCAGCCCAAAGACGGTGATCACAGAGTATACTGTAGAATAGATTTGGTTACGGAAGTCATCAATTGACGGACACTCTGAATTATTAAACGTAGGAGATGTTATGTTCTGCGTAGCCATTCTTCTACTGGTGTCTGAAATAAGAAAGAAAGAAAGAAAGATTTTTCAAAATATAAATATTCAACTCATATAAAATTGATAAGGGACTGTTCGTTATTTATTTAAGGGGCCACCGGAGGAGATTTGAGATCTGTAGTCAAAAAAGACTTGACCCTCCCTTCGCCAGCAATAATTTTTTCTATGACCCTCCAAAATGATTGTGAAAAAAGGCATGACCCTCCCCGATAATTTATTAATTACTTTTGTACTGGTTTTGGCAAAGATGTTCAGATAGTCATTTCACGATAAACGACTAAACTCCTGCTTTCTCATCTTGCGGCTGTAACGAATCTGATAGACCAAACCTACAATTCGGTTCGTATCACGATTTTTGATTTGAAAAAAAATAAAAATAATTTGAAAAAAATCATGTTTTCGGTCGTGGTGACGCGTTCATGTAAAATGTAAGGGTGGCGCTGCCAATACAGTATCTTAAAGCTGCCACAAAGAACCGGCAAAAGTAATGATTATGAATAATTTCAAGGGGACATTTTAATTGTTTATTAATAAACAAGTCTTTGTCAGTGTGGCTGCAAATATAAAGGTGATGATGCTGACTCGCGATCTTCGCAGTAGTGAACGCGCCAGAGAGAAATGCACATTTACGGATTACAGAAGCAGAGTCTGTAGTCTGTTTTCTTTCGTTTTGAATTATTCTGTTAAAAAGTAGACATGTCAAGCTTTCTATATATTTATCTGTAAAAGTTTTAAAGTCACTTTCAGAGCGGTCATGTCCGTAACGGAGAACTGTCACGTCAGTAAAAAGAAAATTCCCTCATAAATGCGAACACGAAAAAAATAAAAATAATATTTTGTGTTATTAACAGTCTCAAACCAGGACAATTCGATGATTGTTGTGGTTATGTCTTATTTCGACATATGTGTGCTGCATGCAACAATTATTAATTAAATCCAGGTAATTGGTTGATGAAAAATGTATTAAAATTAAGATACAATTTATACAAAACGAAATTCACTTTAAAGAAAGGCTTTCTACAAAACAACACTTAATGAAGTGGTCAAAATCATGTCTGGCCATGTCTCCCGATATATTGCGTATAGGCTATACTTTTCATAATAAACATAGATGGAAAAAAACATTAATAAATAAATATGAAACTAAATGCGCTTATTATGGCTACAACACAGCTACAGACTCTATTTGTACATATTGCTGCACATTCATTTAATTCAGAATTTTGCACACAAGTTGAAAGGCATTTGTTTGTGCATAGTAAAACATATCTGCAACATTTATCAAGTTCACTGATAATTGTGTGTGCATTTATTAATCAATATGATACTAAAATCATAATAAAGTAGTAGGCTTCCCTTTCAATAGTCCAAATTCGCGCGCTGCCATTTTCGTCTTTCTTCTGTGGATTTCTTCAGCTCCTGATTGGTCAAATTCAGATAGATCGACAAATCGGCTCATTCAACTGCACAGCGCACACACCTCACGAATTCAAGCCTACAGCTCCCGAACTTTTTAGACATGTTTAAAAATTATCGTGAGGTCGAGAGGTTCGGCTCGGCTCGTATCTTCCTAGCACACGACACGAGCCGCAACATGCGAGCACAACCGATTTCCACGCGATTTCTCCCGAGTGAAAAAATCATCTGCGAGCTCATAAAACAGCAAAAAATCGCACCGTGTAAGCCCGCCTTAAGGGAGTATGAATATATAAACAGACGTTTCAGTATTAAATGCATTTTCTGAGAATTTATATTTCAAGTTTTGACTGCAAATGTCACGTCCACAACGCTGGAATTGCCCAATTTTTTTGGTGTAGGTCTGTATTTTATTATGTTAACTTCAAATAATACAAATAGTAATTTAAAAATGTGGTAGCCCTATGTCCAACACATCACACTCCACTGTTATGGGGGCAATTTCAGTAGATTTGCTCACTAACATTGTTGTGGAAACATAATAAGAATGGAAACTAAAATAGTATCGTGCTACTCATCAGCTGCAGTTCTGGCGCCTCAGTCCCAATACTGTAAAACTCGACGTACATTCACATCACATGTTAATGCAGCGGTAGAGTAGCACTCACAGGACACTGCACTTATTCGCAATCCCAAAAGTTCATTATTTGCTCGTGCTTTAAAGCTTTGCCGGGTAAACATTTCATTGGCGTTCTGTTCTAATGCACTTTTTCAGAGCGCGTAGCCTACTGAAGCGCGCGCGCACTGTCAGACAGCGCCAAACTGGATTTTTGTTGGGTCAGACCCATCTGATAGCGATGGGGGGCCGAGAGCGAGAGAGCTGTAGCTACATGGAAAGAAATATGCACCAAACAAGCCACTTTGAAATTGAGCTGTTTTGATGAATACAAAAGTTGGGTGACCCTCCCCTATAGACTAAAAAAAGTTGGATGACCCTCCCCTCAACAAAGAATAAAAAGACATGACCCTCCCCTATTTTCCTCCGGTGGCCCTTTCCATAAATACCGAACGGTCCCTAAGTGCTCACCGCTTTTTTCTCAATGCCAACAAGGGCCAGTGGTTCAAATTTTCACTGGCCCCACAACACACTGAGCTGTCCAATCAGAGTAGAGTAGAACAATCACAACAGACTGAGCTGGCCAATCAGAGTAGAGTAGACCAATCACAACACACTGAGCTGTCTGACCAATCAGAGCAGAGTAGACCAATCACAACACACTGAGCTGTCTGACCAATCAGAGCAGAGTAGACCAATCACAACAGACTGAGCTGTCTGGCCAATCAGAGCAGAGTAGACCAATCACAACAGACTGAGCTGTCTGACCAATCAGAGCAGAGTAGACCAATCACAACACACTGAGCTGTCTGACCAATCAGAGCAGAGTAGACCAATCACAACAGACTGAGCTGTCTGACCAATCAGAGCAGAGTAGACCAATCACAACAGACTGAGCTGTCTGACCAATCAGAGTAGAGTAGACCAATCACAGCAGACTGAGCTGTCTGGCCAATCAGAGCAGAGTAGACCAATCACAACACACTGAGCTGTCTGACCAATCAGAGCAGAGTAGACCAATCACAACAGACTGACCTGTCTGACCAATCAGAGCAGAGTAGACCAATCACAACAGACTGAGCCATCTGACCAATCAGAGTAGAGTAGACCAATCACAACACACTGAGCTGTCTGACCAATCAGAGCAGAGTAGACCAATCACAGCAGACTGAGCTGTCTGGCCAATCAGAGCAGAGTAGACCAATCACAACAGACTGGGTCATCTGACCAATCAGAGCAGAGTAGACCAATCACAACAGACTGAGCTGTCTGGCCAATCAGAGCAGAGTAGACCAATCACAACAGACTGAGCTGTCTGACCAATCAGAGTAGAGTAGACCAATTCCAACACACTGAGCTGTCTGGCCAATCAGAGCAGAGTAGACCAATCACAACAGACTGAGCTGTCTGACCAATCAGAGCAGAGTAGACCAATCACAACAGACTGAGCTGTCTGACCAATCAGAGTAGAGTAGACCAATCACAGCAGACTGAGCTGTCTGGCCAATCAGAGCAGAGTAGACCAATCACAACACACTGAGCTGTCTGACCAATCAGAGCAGAGTAGACCAATCACAACAGACTGACCTGTCTGACCAATCAGAGCAGAGTAGACCAATCACAACAGACTGAGCCATCTGACCAATCAGAGTAGAGTAGACCAATCACAGCAGACTGAGCTGTCTGGCCAATCAGAGCAGAGTAGACCAATCACAACAGACTGGGTCATCTGACCAATCAGAGCAGAGTAGACCAATCACAACAGACTGAGCTGTCTGGCCAATCAGAGCAGAGTAGACTAATCACAACAGACTGAGCCATCTGACCAATCAGAGCAGAGTAGACCAATCACAGCAGACTGAGCTGTCTGGCCAATCAGAGCAGAGTAGACCAATCACAACACACTGAGCTGTCTGGCCAATCAGAGCAGAGTAGACCAATCACAACACACTGAGCTGTCTGACCAATCAGAGCAGAGTAGACCAATCACAACAGACTGAGCTGTCTGGCCAATCAGAGCAGAGTAGACCAATCACAACACACTGAGCTGTCTGGCCAATCAGAGCAGAGTAGACCAATCACAACACACTGAGCTGTCTGGCCAATCAGAGCAGAGTAGACTAATCACAACAGACTGAGCCATCTGACCAATCAGAGCAGAGTAGACCAATCACAGCAGACTGAGCTGTCTGGCCAATCAGAGCAGAGTAGACCAATCACAACACACTGAGCTGTCTGGCCAATCAGAGCAGAGTAGACCAATCACAACACACTGAGCTGTCTGACCAATCAGAGCAGAGTAGACCAATCACAACAGACTGAGCTGTCTGACCAATCAGAGCAGAGTAGACCAATTCCAACACACTGAGCTGTCTGGCCAATCAGAGCAGAGTAGACCAATCACAACAGACTGAGCTGTCTGACCAATCAGAGTAGAGTAGACCAATCACAACACACTGAGCTGTCTGACCAATCAGAGCAGAGTAGACCAATCACAACACACTAAGCTGTCTGACCAATCAGAGCAGAGTAGACCAATTCCAACACACTGAGCTGTCTGGCCAATCAGAGCAGAGTAGACCAATCACAACAGACTGAGCTGTCTGACCAATCAGAGCAGAGTAGACCAATCACAACACACTGAGCTGTCTGACCAATCAGAGCAGAGTAGACCAATCACAACACACTGAGCTGTCTGACCAATCAGAGCAGAGTAGACCAATCACAACAGACTGAGCTGTCTGACCAATCAGAGCAGAGTAGACCAATCACAGCAGACTGAGCTGTCTGGCCAATCAGAGCAGAGTAGACCAATCACAACAGACTGGGTCATCTGACCAATCAGAGCAGAGTAGACCAATCACAACAGACTGGGCCATCTGACCAATCAGAGCAGAGTAGACCAATCACAACAGACTGAGCTGTCTGGCCAATCAGAGCAGAGTAGACCAATCACAACAGACTGGG